CAACACTGAGATTTCACCTCACCCCACAAAGAATAGCTGTCATTAAGAAATCCACCAGTGACAAATACTGGAGAGGCTGTGGGGAAAAAGGAACACTTCTCCACTGCTGGTGGGAGTGTCAATTGGTGACGCCACCATGGAAGTCAGTCGGAGATTCCTCACAAAACTAGGATTAGAAGTTCCACTTAGGGGGCTGGGGATTTAGCTCAGTGGCACAGCACCTGCCTGCAAAGCTCAAGGTCGTGAATTCGATTCCCGGTATCAGAAAAAAAAACAAAAAAAAAGAAGTTCCACTTAACCCAGCTATTCCCCTTATAGGTATATTTCCAGAAGAATTAAAAATGTCATACCATAGCAATATATGTGCACCCATGTTTATAGCAGCACAATTTGTCATACCTAATCTTGGACGCAACCCAAATACCCATCAACTGAGGAATGGATAATAAAAGCTGTGGTATTTCTATACAATGCAGTATTACTCAGCTATAAAAAAAGATAAACTGGAGGCTTTTATAGGTAAATGGATGCAACTAGAGACCATAGTCATAAATGAAATAAATGGGGCCCACATGTATAAACATCATATTGCTCCTTGGTGTAAGAACACAAAAGAGTCAATAAAACCCAAAATGTACAATAGATAATAAGAAAGGGAAAGAAATTGCTCAAAGGAAGGAACAACTTGGATAAGGGAAAGAAGAAAAAGAAAGTACTAAGGCACTTTATAGATTATGGATCGGTGGCATAACTGTACTGTTGGTGTCCGATGGTTTGTTCAGGGGAACAGTTAATATTCAAAAGGTTTTTTTTAAAAATATTTTGACCAATTTTTCTTGTTTGTATCTGGTAATCGGAGCAACTTAAGTGATGACAAGAATTTGCAGTGTGTCCATTGGTGAATTCTTACAGTCCTGCCTAGTGACACTATGTATTGTCTCTAATGTTCTTTTAAATTACCATTTTCTTATTCCCTTTAATGATTTGATCAGTCTTCTATTCTTACATCTGGTAATCTGAGCAACTTCATTAAAGATAACAATATGTAATATAACAACCACTGTTAATCTCTGTCATTTGGTTTGAAACCCCGTATCATTTTTAATGTCCTTGCTTTGTGTTGTCTGTATTTTGCTATTGTTCTTCTTTTTGGTACTATTTTCTTTAAAATAAAAAAAGTTAAAAAAAAAAAAGAAACATTTCACTCCTCTGTCAAAAATTGTTTAATCTAATCTACTTTAAAATGTAGATTTTTCTAGTAAGTATCTGTGTGTCTGTCTACCTACATATATTACTAATGCATCTGACGTAATGGGAAAATTATGTATAAAAATGTTCTAACACTCAGAAAAAAGTTGCTCTGCACTTTTTAAACTCATGCATATTGTTTCACTGTCAAAAACAAAAAGTATCATCCATACTCATTTTTCTGCCTCCTGTGGGATACTGCAAAATTTGATAGTAAATGTAATTATATGCAAATATGTCTTTTCTTACAGCAACAATAGTAAATATGAATTTAGTCAAAAAATAAAAATTTGTTGTACTAATGTTTTTGAATGCCGAGCAGATATTGCATTTGCTGGACTGACTGGCTATATCTTTTTTTTTTTTTTTAATAGCAATCACTGAGGAGACAGTCTGTGTTGGTTTAGCCAGGGTCGGAGCTGAGGACCAGAAAATTGCAGCGGGCACCTTACGGCAGATGTGCACTGTGGACTTGGGAGGACCATTGCACTCCTTGATTATCACGGGAGGCAGCATGCATCCGCTGGAGATGGAGATGCTAAGTCTGTTTTCCATACCGGAGGAGAACTGACGGGCTCTGAACATGACATTTGCAGTGGTCGCATATAATTTCAGTCGGCTATAGATGTACACATATTTGTGTGACGCATGAAACAGGTCTTTTTGGTTTGTCTAAAAGTAATAATAACAAGTGACCAAAAAGAAAGGACTTGGCGACAATGCGTGGTTTCCTGTGGCAGTGCATTTTCCCGTGATGTCAGCAGTTGTGTTGTTCTGACAACTTCCCAGGGAGGACCCACGTAGCAGATCAAGCTGGGAAAACGTGTGGGTGGATGTCCACAGACAGCGTCATTTAAAAGCCTTTTTTTATGAAATCAGTTAATACAGGGTAGTTGGTACAGAGTATAACTTAAAGGTAACTAGAATCTGAATCACTTGAATGTGAATCACTTGTCCTAGTTTTAAAGGATAAGAAATATAGCAATGGCCCCAAAGGCAAATGAAAGATTGGTAACCATTCATATATTGTTTTTATAAATTTTTCCATTAAAAAGTCAGCTGTCCTAACTACAAGGTGAATTTTCCTGACAGAGCTGGTATTAGAACTTGGAAACAGGTGAGAAGAATGCATTTCCACCTTACCCCACCGCTTAAAGCTCAGGAGCACAGGCTGCACAAGGAGTCTTCTGCACCGACTGTCTTGTCAGCTGACGTCCTATGTGACTCACATTCTGCTGTATTCCGGAGATTATATAATGTTTAATCGTAAGCGTTCCGCCAGCCATGTATAGCTGCTGTTTGGTTTTAAACAGCACCCTTCACATCCACACAGACAAATGGGAAACTTGCTGACAAAATAAAAAGTTTTTAAATTTTGGGTTGAAGGTAACAATAGATTGATCAAACTTTGTCATATCGCTTGATTCAGTTATTCATATATACATGAGTTAATTTCACTTTTACCACTTTTAAGGAACATTATATGTTATAATCATAGTTATAATATTTTCTGTTAGTTTAGAATAAAAATAGCTTTGTTCCATGCTAGTTCTGTTAGTCAGATTGAGTATTTCCATGACCTAATCAATTTTACTTCTTTGCTTAGTACATTCATTAAAAGCTAAGAAAAAATTTCCCTACTTCCTAGTATAATCGATGAGCTAGAAATTATTTTGACTTGTTTCCGTTGGGATGAAAGATTTTGAAATAACCCATTTTCAGTTTGCTGGGCCCATAAGTTCGGAGAACCACAAGCTTTTCAGTCCTGTATTATTGTCTTCTAAGGCCTTCAACAAACATTAAAGAATTGTACAACAGAACTTGTGGCTTTGTACTGTGGTGTAGCGTGTATGTATAACCCTTCCGTTTCAGACCCAACCGAGGGTCACCAGTTACCATCTGAGGACACTAGAGTCCGCAGAAGCAGGTGAGCAGTATGCTGACACCGCTGTTCCCCTCCAGCTCCCACACTTCCTCTGCTGACAACTGGACCTCACAAGGAAGTTGCAGACTTACAAGCTCGAGGGTTTAGAAGATAAAATTGGAAGTTGAAGTAAGAGATCTTAAAGTCAGGTACGAAAGAAGATGCCAGACCTGCGTGTCTCTCCTTCAACCCGTGGCCAGTTCTAACCTCTGCGTGCACAGGAAGACCGCGTGAGCCCTGGTGGGAGCCGCAGCTAGAAGGCTGAAGGGGCGGACCGGGGGTGGCCCTCTGTTCCAGAAGCGGAAGTGCTTCACAGCAACTTAAACCATCCTCTGAAACACCAGGAGGAACGTGTTAGTAAAGGCCGGGCTGAGGGCTAGAGATTTGTATTAAAACTAAGGACCAAACCTTTAACATAATATCAAATGAAATCACAAAATCAAGGTGATTCGCCAATAACTTAATAAGCCTTTAATAGTTTAGCCATTTAGAATAGAGCTTACCAACCCGGAGTGTGGTTTTTAAAAGCTCAGTTTCTGTAACATGTCAGCAGTAATCAGAGACTATAGAGTATTACAATACGGCTTTATGACTTAAAAAAGTAGGTAATAGAGATCCTCATATAACCTAGATATTAGAATTAGTAGAGCAAGATTTTGAAGCAGCCTTTAGGAGTTTGTTCGTAGGCGAACAGAAAGTGATGTTAATAAATGAGTATAGGTGTACTCCGCCTAGAAATGGAAACTTAACAAAAGTAAGAAAGAATCAAATCATTACAGACAGCATCAGAGTACAGATGACAGAGAAACTGTCCAATCTGAGGAAGGAGAAAAGGTCTGAGAGGAAAGAAGGCTGCGTGCCATGTGTCAATGCCGAACAGTTTGACACATGTAATTACGGGATTTGCAAAAAGAAAACAGGACAAAAATATGAATAAAGGGTAATACTTCCTCAATTTGGGGAAACTGTCAATATATTTATAGATTGAATAAGCTCAGGGAATGCCAGGCAGAATACAAAAGCCGAACCTAACATGTTCATGGGAGGACTGTAATTCTTATATCTTATTGCCAGGTGGCGTAACCAGTGGTACATGCATGACTGTCCCACTGGGTGACTTTTTATTAATTTCATTAGTAAGAAGACCGATAAAAGTAATTAGATCCAGTTGTACCAGCAGTGGTACAAGCCACCCAATGGGACAATCATGCCTGGACCACCGGTGGTTCAGGCTGGTGGGGATGTGTTAAAACTGACGAAAACTAAACAAGACCAAGTTTTAAAAGCCAACAAGGACAGTAGTACGGAACACACCAAATTTTTCTTTGAACAGAAAATCTTAACTAGAAATTTTATTTTTTGCAAAACCTGATAAATCTATCATGTATGCAGTTTAACTTAAGTATAAATGAAAACTGCATTATTCGTCAGGAAAAAGTTGAACAGTACTGTTTTTTGTCTTCTGTCCTGCAGTCCCAGTGTGTGGCAGTTAACGTAGAAATACTTGAATGTCACATGTACTTGTTTGCTTAGTAGTGTTTAGCTCTTTGATGTTACTGTTTTACTTTGCATTGTTGTGGTGCTAAGGGTTGAACCCAGGACATTATGTAGGTGCTTTACCATTGAATTATACTGTGTTTTCATCTAGAAGTTTTATAGCTGTACATTTTGCACTTACATCTGAAATAGTTTTAGTTGCATGAAGTGTGAGGGTTAGCTTGTGTTTCATTTCTTTTATGTACTGTGGATATCCAGTCGCTCCGGCACTATTTGATGAAGTGACTCTTCTTGCCTCATTGAACTGTGTCGGTCTACTTTCGGGATCTTTTTGCCGTTTTGTTGATCTGTGTGTCTCTCCCTCTGTAATGGCACATTGTCTTGATTATTTTAGCTTTGTGATAAATCTTAAAAACAGTATGATTCCTTTAACTTCTGTTTCCCAAACTGTTTTAGTTGCCCGGTTGTTTGGCTTTCCATATAAATGTAAGAATGACCTTGTTGATGGCTATAACAGAGCTGGTGAGATTTTGATTAGAACTCGGATATAGATTTTTAGTTTATCCTGTTTGGGGTTTGTTCAGCTTCTTGAATCTGAAGGTTTATGTGACCTTCAGTTTGGGATGTTGCTAAGCACTCTTTCATTTTTTGGAATAGTATACATTTTTTCTTTTTGGAACTCCAGTAATGGAAATATTAGATTATTCTTGTCTCCACAAGTCCCTCGGCCCTGTTCATTATTGTTTTGTTTGGTGTTTTGTGTTTCTGGCTTATTGTTTTGCTTTGAAATCTGTTTTCTCTGTTACTTAGAGTGGATAATTTGTATTGATCTCTCTTCAAGTTCATTGACTCCTACTGAGTCCATTCAATATGTTGAAAATTTTGGTTATTCTAGTATTCCATTTGCTTCTTTATTAACATTTGTAAAGATTATTTTAATTACTTGAGTATAAGATTTTTATTACATAATTCCAACCTTGATATCATCTAAGCCTGGGCATTTGTTTTGTTTTGGTTTTGGTTTTTTTTGTTGTTTGTTTTTTTTTTTTTTAATCCTGTACCGGGAACCGAACTCACGACCTTGCACTTGCCTAAGCCTGGGCATTTGTTGATTGACTTTCTTCTTCAAATTGAAATTTTTGCAGTGCTTTGTCAGCAAATTTTGGATTGTAACTTGGACATTCTGAATTTTGTATACAGATTGAGTCTTGTTTAAGTTCTGCAGAGAAGTGGGCTTTTTGCTGTAGTAGGCAGTCAACCTAGTGAGGGCCAGGATGCAATTACCAGTCTGCCTTCTGTGTGCTCTGTTTCCAAGATCAGTTTAGTTTTTATACTCTAGGTCTCTTTGGATCTATCTTGAATTTATGCCACTCAGCCTGAAACTTAGGAAGTATTCTGCTGGTTCGTGTGGTCCTTGAGGTGTTTGGTGTATTAAATATGGTTACATCAGAGCATTAATGATTTGAGGGTTGTGCTCATGTTCATAAACAATTCTGAGGTTGTTCTCCTGGGCTTGTTCCCCACCCAGTCTCCACACTACTTCCTGATTCCCTTTGTCCATTGGTCTTTTGGCCAGGAACTTGGGGTTCTAGTTACTGTACTGTGTTGCTTACTATTTCAGATCTTCATGTTGGCCAACATTCTGACCCGTATGAGTAATGTGGTCTACCTTTTGAAGCCACAATTCTACCAATCAGAAAGTTCCCTTTCTTAAAAGCTGAAGCTTCTGTAGGTTTCCATAGCTGCTGCCCACCACAAAGGGACTGCCTGGGGGAAGTCTTGGCAACCAACAGGAAGCCTTTGCTCCAATGAATATAACTGCAAATGTGTTAACCTTGTCTGTTGATGTTTAGAAGCCAGTGGTGTCACACGCCTGTAATCCCAGCACTTGGGAGGCTGAGGCAGGAGGATTATTGCAAGTTTGAGACCAGCCTAGGCTACAAAGTGAGCTCAAGGCCAGCCTGAACTGCATAGTGAGACTGTGTCTCAAAAATAAATAAATATTGCTCAAGGGGAGGTGGTATTATGCATATAGGACAGATAAGCCCTAGCTGAACAACATTACAGTCTAGCTTTCCTACACAGGGTGAGAAACCAATTATGCTTAACACACGGTTCTCCTTTTATTTATAATTTTAGAAGTGATTATCACATTTCCAAAAGTCCAAATGAAGTGTTGTAATTCTTTTGAAGCAAATCAGTGCTTGTATATGAATTTGAATTTGCTTTTAGAATGCTGTGCTTTTAAAACTCATGTCAAAACTTACGAAGAAATTTTAGGGAGTTTGTTTTAATGGTCTTATTTTTAATCTTTAGCTTTAGCACTGGCTCGCTTACATAGAGCATAATTCATTTTAACAGTCCACAGAGAACCATTTTTCAAAGTGGGTTTAAACTGACTGGAAAGCACAGTTCATTTTTTTCAATACATTTCGTTTGCCTACTGTGCCAGGCTATGCACTCAAGTGTCATCACATCAGTGGTCTTCTTAGATACAGGAATTTAGCAAATAAAGTAGAGACGTACATTGGAATGTTGTAACGTGCAGAGCCTGGGCGTTAGGTTTTTTAAGCTCAGAGTTGGGGCTAGACGAGCTGACAGAGTGCCTGCACGGGCGAGAATCCCAGTACAGCGCTATTCCTCCCTTCCTGTAGACTGAATGAGAAACTAGGTTGCTGTCATGCTACTGACATCTTGTGAATCTCGAATTTGTTGGCTTCCCGGTTTTGCTGTCCCTCTGGTCTAGCCAGGCTCATGCAGACTTAGTCAGCTATCGAGGGAACTGAATAGCAGGCAGTGAAAGGCATTGAGTTGCCGGAGGTTTTCAGAGAAGTTGCACTTGATAAGCATTAAGGACGCCCTCCAGATCCTGGGCTGCATGACTGAAAGTGGACACGGGGAAGCTCACTTTGTCAGGCTGAGTTGCCGGTGCACTATTGTAAACAACTTTCCTAAAATCTGCGTGTAAACAGAGCAGCTGCTCTGAGAGGGGTCTGCGGGCCACTGTGGAATGACTGGGCCAGAAGCTAATTCCAGAAAACACAGGAAAGGCAGGGAGTCCCTGGCAGGGGCTGGAGACCGAACAAGTCAGAGTGCAGCACACAGCAGGGCCTACACAAGGCAGAGGAAGCCGGGGCAAGCCACTGCGCAAAACGTCACATTCAGCAGAAATTCCTTTCACTCCCTGCCAAGGCCAGAACTGTTTTTGTGTGGGGGGTGATGGGGACCTGCAGTGGAATGACAAAGCTGGATGCGGAGCAGGTGGGAAGCAGGCAGCTCCCAGATGTGGTTCTGCTTGCCGCCATCAGCAGGGTTCTGGAACAGGAGAGGATTCTGCAAGTGGAGGTAGCAAAGACGTTTAGATTTCTGAGAATTTTGTAAAGAATGCGGACAGAAATTGGTTATTAGAAGACAGCTGAGTGGAAAGATAAATCTTTTTATGTTGAATGTGCTGCTTGTAGTTCTGTTTGTTTTTTGAGACAGGATCTTGCTGTATCGTCAAGCTTGCCTTGAACTCACAGTGACCCTCCTGCCTCAGCCTCCCAGGTGCACCACCATGCCCAGCTGTTGTTTGCAGTTCTGCCATGAGTGAGGCAAGGAAGTCACTGAGGCACTTCATACATTTGGACAAACGAAGCATGAAGCCAGACTATTAGGAGCTGTGGAGATAGCTAGAAGGTGAAGCACATGGAACACACGAGGAGTCCAATCGCAGACATGCTGCGGATGAAGTCGCCCTCCCCCAATTTTTTGAGACAGGGTCTTGTGCAGCCCAGGTTGGTTTCACACTTGTGATCCTCCAGCCTCAGCCTCCTGAGTGCTGGGATTATAGCTGTGCACAACCATGCCTCGCTTGGGTAAAAGCCTTCCAGTGTGACTGATAGTCAAGAGGCTGCTTTGATAAGAATATCCTTGAGAAGGTGGTGTGAGTGGGCCTGGGATCGTGTGAAGGAGTTATTTTAAAAAGGACTTGTTTCTGCTTAGAAGCAAAGGTCTGGAGGGGCATGGAGGCTCAAGCCCAGTGCTTTAGTCCTCATTTCATACTGCAAGACAAGATCACGTCCAGCGAAGAGGTAAGAGAAGAACAATATGGCTCTGACAGAAATACCTGGAAGCCCGTGGGGGCGTGGTTACGAGGTGAAGTGCCGAGTAAGAGCCGCAGAGCGCCTGTTGTTGCAGACGCCGCCAACCCCCAACGGCTCCTCTCCCGCGAGCCGCGCTGTCTCCTGTCCCTCAGAACCGTCCTGTGGCTTCCATTCCTCGGCATCACTGCAGCAGTTCCTACCTGGCCTGTTCTTGTTCCTGTCTAGTCTGTCCCAATGAAAGTACGCTCTTCCACTTATCAAGCTGATAAACAATCGAGACAGGTATTTTTAGAGAGAAATTTTATTGAAAAGAATTTTTATACAGTTGCTCATGATTCTTTTAAAATACACCTGAAATTAAAATACATGTGAATGTGTGCAAGTAGAAAAAGTGAAACACACATTACAGATTTGTTGTATTACACTTTGGGCAAATCGTAAGTGGCTACATGAGCCTATTCGAACCACATGACTAGTCTCCAGGGTGACGTTCCCATTGTCTTGTACAAATGTTCTTAGAAATGTTTTGATGTCGTAATACTCACCAAAGGAATCAAACCCAAACTTGACCAAATGTTTAAAAACCATTAAAGGCAGGGAGGTAAAGTGTTGTAGGGCTGTTTAGAATGTACATAATAAGGGATGGGTCTGGCATTTTTCCATTCAGAATATTTCAACTATGAAACACCCATTCTGTTTATCAAACGAGAGAAAGCTAGGGAAAACTCAGGTGGGAAAAGTATCACTTAAGTTGTTGCTGTTTGAAGAAGCACTGAAATCACTGGACAGACTTTAAAAGAATGTGTGTCTACTTCAAAGCAGAATTTTTTTTTTTTAATCTTTTTGAGACAGGGTCTCACTATGCAGTTCCGGCTTGTCTGGAACCCACTTTGTAGCACAGACTGGCCTCGAACTCAAAACAGTCCTGCATCAGCCTCCCAACTGCTGGGATTACAGGCATGCGCCACCATGCCCGGCCAAAGCAGACTTTTCATTGAGGGTGACACACAATATGTGACCATACACAAAACTCAAATGCTAAAATTCGTAACCCTTTTTTTACCAGTATAAAGTGGAAGAAACAAGGACGAACAAGACAAAAAAGGTGAAAGGTATTTCAGTAATATTGAAATCACTTAATAAATATAGTGTTACAAAAGCACCTTCAAGAAATACCCCTTAGAGCGTTTTGGATGATAATATATCTAGGAGTAAACATAGCAGACTACATCGGTACTTAAAGTACTATGAATATGACCCTTTTCTGGAAAAACTAAGAAGACGATGTAATTCCTGATTTGGCTAAACAAAATACAAAAATTCAAGTTACCCATGTTGCACACACCCAATTCGGCCAAATTCCTGCCCAACAATATGCAAAACAGATCACATCTGCACGCTCACACTGTTTGTGTAACGAGCAGCTCACAAAGGCTACTTGAAAAAAATATAGGCAAAGTGAATATAAATTCACCTGCTTGTGCAAAAATGCCAAAGAAATGCTGAGGTGATTTCTGAAATAAGTCAATTACTGGTGTTACTTCTCCCTAACTTTTCCATCTACTACTATCTACAATAATCTCTAATAAACCAGTGAGCACGTCATGGTGAATTCACGCTAAGGTTGGGGATAAAGGAGTGTGCAAGACAAAGACATTCTCCCTTTTACATCAAGATCAAAATGACAAATACTAAATTTTCAAAGCTGTTAGGAAAGTGTAACGTAGATTTTAATTTATGAAATATTTGTTTTGAAAAAGTAGATATAAATCCTAATCTTTCTCCTGCACGGCGAAATTACCCATACTTCTTGGAGGACAGCTCCCTGGCAGTGTCAAGGTCAGTTCTCCGAGACGGGTGCTCACTTCTCCAGGCCGCCATGGACACCATCGCGTGACCCAGTCCCGTAGGCAACCTACTAGCATGCCAGCGAAACTGTCTACGTCTCCAAAACGGTTTTAAAAGTGCACAAGGGGTTCTGATTAGTCTTTTCACTCTGCAGTTTTAGATCAATGGCAAAGGTAGGAAATAAGCCTAAAAGTGCACAGAAAAGAGTGCGTCTAACTAGGCTGTAACTATGGACCCTGTACCAACTTCGGCCAACTCTTCACCGTTCTGTAGCGGAGCCTGCTTAGAACTATTAGAACTTCTTGAAAACATTTTCTTCTTTGTTGGGATTGAACCCAGGCCCTGTGCTTACTTGGGGAACGTTCCCCGAGTTAGCTGAAGGACGTAAACATCAGACAAGGTGCTGGGTTTCGGTGGGTGTTCTCCCTCTGGCTGGCTCTCCCTCGGGCTTGCCGTTCACGTTCTCCTGGCCCAGCTTACTGACCTCACAAGGGAGGAAGAATTCCCCCTCCTGTGAAGTGTTATGAGAATTAGAAAATAGATTCAGAAATACTGTCAATCATGAAATCACGCAAAATTACAATTCTTTGTTAATACAAGTGAGGATTAAATGTAACGTGAGAGAGGCCAGGCCATGGGCCTAATACAGGTTGTTCCCTTTATCTGCTATGTGTATAATTTCAAGTCGGGAAGTGGGTAGTCAGAAACCGAAGATGCACTCATGAAAAAGGTTCCATCTGTTTAGCTATTAAATAGAACTGTATTTTTCAGCCAACACATACTTGATAGAAGTTCTCACTGTCTTTGAATCTGACTTGATTATATGGTAGAGGTCTGAAACATCAAGCCTTCTGAAGGAAATCACATCTTGGAACACTCTGCCACTGATAAAACTTTTAATGAGTGTTTTACAAAGGATAAAGTAATTTCTCCCCTTTCCCAAGGTCCTTATGAACTGGAAAATAATTTTTCAAAATTGGTGATTTATTGTAAACAGAAGGAAAGAAGTCTGAAGAGCTGGAAATAGTGCTTTAGCATGTGGAATTCTGGTAAAACTTCAAACTTCACCCTACTGAATTAAAAGGTTGTTCTATGGAGTATTTAATGCCTATTTTTGCACAGGCTTGAGAATCTGAAGAATAAGAAAGCTTTACACTGATTTTTTTTAAAAAAAGCAAAGTGGCAAGACTGAAATGATAGGTCCTGTGAATTAACCTCGTTTCTAAAAAGTCTCACCTTGCAGACTAAAAAATTAAGGAAACGAAGCAGTCCTTAGGAGGCATGAGCGGTTAACAGAAAAACTCACCCATGCGTTAAAGTATGGACTGTACAAATCAAATGTCATTATCTTTTAGGTCAGGAACTGGCTTCGCAAGAGTAAAAAAGTTTTTTAAAATTTGAAAACATACGAAAGAAAAAGGAAATAATCTAGACTATATAATTAGTTATGAAAAATGAGACAAAATCCCATTTATAAAGTGCCTTCATGTACCAAAACTGGAGGTCACACGTCCTTTATTCACAAACAATATTTAACCCACATGTGCAGACGGGCGAACGTTACACTGGGAAGAGCACACTAAAGAACTACAGTACTGACGTGGAGTCAGGAGGTCTGAACTTCGCCTTGGCTTTACCGTGGGCTGATGAGCTCTGTGACTCCGCGTAAGCAACCGCTTTTCAGGGCTTGCTTTTTCTCGTCTGTAAACTGACAGAAGCGGTCTACTTCCTAGCATGGTCCCTGCGAAGACCTCTGTATTAAGCCGTGTAATCCTTTTAATCTCACCATGATGTGTTTTGTAAAAACTTATCCCACAGCAGAGAACTCATCCGAGCAGCATTCTGAGTTACCATCTGACAGGTGTGTGAGCTGGCTTTAAAGATCGCCGAAGCGGTGACATCTGTCCCACTCTCCTGTGCGTCTGCTGCATACGAAGGGCACCGACGACGGCACGAGGAGCACTGACCTGCACGTGAGCTTGGTACTGCCCTTCACACAGACGCTCGCGAGTTAGCGAAGCGAGCAAGCTGCACAGACGTTCAGCCCTTCATCGTGAGTAGTAGAATGGACTTTGAAAACTAGTAGTATATTTCTGTTTGGGAACGTTTACAGTAAACTTTCCCGGAACAATACAATTTTTCCCCAAGGGTATCTAAAATACTGGCAAATTTACCCCCAGATACAGATTTCGTTCTGTAAGAGGTAGCATTAGGTTAGGAACACTAACTTCTCAATTTGCTTAGAGCCACTGTCGGGTGGTGTTTCTCAGTGAAATACCTGTTTTAGTGATACATCTGTGCCGGGAACAACGAGACAAAGTACTCCCAGGGAGAAGCTGTTCTTCCTTGGTGATTTTTGTTTCTGTTGTACACACAGGTGAACTGTAAAGTGTAAATACTAATGCCAACCTGTTAAATAATATGGTCTGGTGATCTCCCGGTAAAAAGTGCAAAATTAGCGTCATACCGAACACTATGCTATGTCAAGGAGAAAAATCATGGATTAGTGCAGGAAGTGGGGAGCTAAAAGAAGTGACAGCAGGGGGCTGGGGATTTAGCTCAGCGGCAAAGCGCCTGCCTGGCAAGCGCAAGGTCGTGAGTTCGGTTCCCGGTACCGGAGAAAAACCAAAAAAAAAAAAAAAAAAAAAAAAGAAGTGACAGCATACTTTGGCAAGGAATGGAGCGCTCACTAAAAGGCAGAATTGGGTCTGTAAGACGCACTAGTAAGTTTTAGAAAACATAACAATTATCTCCATATGTGAAATATCAATATAGTTACACATAATGAGTTTGTGAAGGCACACATCCAGTATCTCTGCCTTCATCTAACCTGTCATTTTCTATAATATGCCAAAACCCATGGAATAACCCAAAGTTCTACCAGACTTGGTAGTGGTTCAAACTTCCAAATGACTGCTTGTAATGAGAAAGCCAAAGTTACATATCGGGTCATGTGCTTCTGTGCTCTCCCTCCTAAAAGACCTCAACATTTATTCCAATGAAACACAATTCCCTGCAAGATTCTTAGTTTTAGAATGGCCAGGCAGTGACGAAACATAGTTTTAAAGTTATCTCCTTATTTTAAAAAAGGAGACTATGGACATTTCATGGCAGTTCACAGTAGCTTAGAAAAACATGAAGAAAGTGGTGTCATTTTGCCAATACTGATAGAAGAGTTCATAAATTGTAAGAGAAGTGATGGAAATGTATTTTAAAATCCAGGCAAAAATCAACAGTGAATTCTGCCACCTTACTGAAAAAGTACTTTTTATTGATCTATACTAGAACTAGTCATTTTCAACCTGAAAGGCCTTTTCCTCAACGATTTCAATTGTTTAAACTTGAAACGGGTCTATGTTATGGTAAAATGAAACATAATGGTAAGTATGTATCTAAATCAATATCCCTTTCATAAAACACTGGGAATACTTCAGTAGAGTTTTCAAGCACTTGAGATCTCATATTGTAATTTCATTTTTCAAATACCTAAGAACCTAGACTATTCATTTACTTCTAAGATATCTGTGTTACAAGATTCTACCTCACCAAATCTGTTCCAGATCTTTAGGAGTTCAAACTCAACCAAATGCTGCCACAGGATTTTGAAAGCAATGGTTGGTATTCAAAGCTTAAACAGGAAAACATATTGCATGACTTGGCATCTGAAGAATGAAAACACAAAATAACGCTGCCGTACCATTTCTGCCTGCAGCCTACTATGCCTCTTGTGGTCATTAATAAAACGTATACAGATGGCAAGGAAAGCAGTAGAAAGATTAACCACAGACACAGCTTGTATAGAAATCTGGAATTTAGCAATTTAGGTCAAAACAATTTTCTCACTAATAAATGCATTTGTAAAATTTTGAAAAACCAGTTCACAAAGTAGTTTAATGTGATTACTGACTGCTTTAAAAAGCAAGATAACACCTTCTTTGATGAGATAAAACAATAAAAAACTTTTATATATCTAAACATATGCTGAAGTACATAAAAGGACAATCTGTCTACTAGCAAGAGTCTTATTTTGTACGATTACAGAATAGCCATTAAAAAAAAAATACATGACCTGTGATGGTACAGTTCTATGCTGGCAAATACATTTCCTGATACAAAGGCACTTTGAAAACCCAATATGGTTTGGTTCATAAGTTTGCGAGGTACAAACAATTGTACAAACATATGATTATACTGAAGAACGTCAGCAACCGTGACATTATATATAAAACAGATTTCCACTTCTTTTTTGAAGAACACTGGTTTTGTGGGAGTGAAAGCAGTGATTTCCAGCAGCTTCAGCGGAGACTTTCCAGATGGTTGGGCCGCAGCCTCAGTCCCTCACTGGCGGCGATGAGGGGATGGGGAATTTGGGTGAAACCTCCCTCCCTCCCTCCCTCCCCCATAAAAGGACAAGCCAACACCCTCGAACAAAACCACAAACCTCAGAGATCAGAATGAAGAACGGCTTGGGGGGAAGAGCACAAAAGACAAGACCGGAAGTCCAGGAGATAACCTCTTAGTTGTGATCCCTCGGCTGTGAACTCCCCACAGAGGACTACCTGGTCACTTGGTGCTAAGAATTCTGGCGATTTCTCCATTGTAAAGAGCCGGGTACAATGTTTTGGACTGTACAGTACCAGAAGAATTTGGTCCGGAAAGAGCAATTTTATTCACTACATGGCGGCAGAGTCAATCTGTACATAGAGCTGTCTCACCCCGGCCTGCAAAGTTAAAAAAAAATTACAAAATCAAGATAGGAATAGAGTACTGTGGACCCCCAAAATTCACGGGGTTACATTTCTAGAGAACCTGTGAATTGTGAAAACTGCAAATTTCAGATACGGTCAGGAAAATGCCTGTTTTTATAGTTTAAACTCCAAATATGACATGTCTCCCACAGTTACGTAATTTAATTTAATAAAATACTGTATTCATAGAGCCTTAGAAGGTGCAAGGTGTTTTGGTGGCATCTTAGGGCACTAAGAAAAACCAAGCCGAGAACACTGGAGATCGCTGCACGCGGTACGGCGCCCTGTCAGAGGCCGGAAGGCTGGCGCACCTCTGGAGATGGGTTACAGCGCAACAACAGCCCATTCGCAGCACGGAGAACCGAATAACGCGCTCAGACTGGCTACTTGCACACCTCGCGCCAAAAAGCAACTGCAGAGAATATTTCCATGGAATTGCGGGGGTTTCCATGAAATTCCAGGGGTTTCTGTGAACCATTAGCTTCTAAGGAAAAACCCATGAAGGACCAAGGCCATGAACTCTGCAGTGGGACCTCGGAGAATAATGATGTACACATTTCAGAAAAGTAGTAGAAAAACATCTTGGAAGTGGAAAGAATTACTTTTCTCTGCATCTCTGAGAAAGAATTCATTTTATCATAAATCAGCAAAAAAATATCTCAGGAACAAATACAACTGTAAGCTACAAACCACCACCACCACCGAAAACAAAAGCGACCAAAGAAAACAAAGCCATGCTACGGTCACAAGTCCCGCGCAAGCGGTACCCGAAGAATGGAGTTCCCCATCTAGCGTGCTGTTACCACGAGAATCACGTCAGCTCAGTCTCACTGCCCCTCATAAATGCCCAACACGCACACGCAGGGAGGGTAGCCGCCCACTGGCTAAGCACTGCGCACCGCATCGCCTTTCTTCAGTGTGGGGTACGGAGTTGCTCCTCAAGAGCACTGCTCTCTGTGTCGTTCCCTACCTTCCCTGTTTATCCATATCCTTCACTGGATCGCTTCTGTTAATACAGACGCACATTATAGTTTCTCATACCTCAAAAAACCCTTCCCTTAAAAACGAACCACATCATATTACGCACAGGTCAGATTCCCTATGATGAATGTGACCGTTATGTGTACCTGAAACGTGCCGATAAACTTCATTCTTAAGAAGCCCTTCCCTGAACCCTGCATCCCCTCCTGGTACAGAGCCGTGCCTGCTCCTCTGGACAGCGAAAATCCTCAAAACAATTACCTTCTTGGCTGGCTGCAATTCCTTTTCCCTCCTCCTAAGCCATTTCAACCAACATGTCCCTCCGTCCACCTCCCCAACTGTCTGTCAAGGAGCCCGCTCGCAGGCCCAGGGCTGTTACAACCCAGCAGCAGTAACACAGGCGGGGACCCCGGCCACGCTCCTCCCTCCTGCAGCGGGTGTTCACCGGCGCCCTTCTCTCACTTGTTCATTGCTCCTAGTACGCTCTGCCGGTCCTCTGTCTCTGAACACTAAGCCGAATACTCACAGCCCCAGTCCCGAGCACTACTTTGCCCGTACTTCATCGCTAGGTATCTCATCTTGGACCCAGACTTTAGCTACTAGCTGTACGTTCACACTTCTGCAATCTGTATTTCTGCGCTGGCACGGACATCCATGTGACGGTTCTACGCAGGGGACCTGTCTAGCAGCACAGCATGGCCAACCAGAGCTGCTCCCGCCCCTCACACCCGCTGCTCCCGCAGTCTTTTATAGGTCAGTCCCCCCTCGGTGCAGCCCCGCCCTTCTCTCACACCCAGCGTCCAGTCCACTCACACCCTCTGCCGCCTTATCTCCAATACAGCGCGAACCCGCAATCTGACCACCTACGTCATCCTCGGGGCTACACCTGGCCCTATCAGTTCTTGCCCAGACTTTGTCACACCTCTTACCAGGTCTTCCCGTCTGCCTCTGCTTTCCATCCATCTCCTCCCACAGCAACTACAGCGACATCACTCTGATCAGTCCACCGCTGCATCGGCTCAGGCTCCTCGTCCTAAGGGCCTCCGAGACCCACGTGACCTACCTCCTGATTACCTCCCCGGTCCCACGGTCCCACGCTTCCTCGGCTACACTGGCCCTCTGCTGGAACTGTGCTCCTCAAGATGCTCCCATCACACATGCTCTCCACTTTCGTCCTCCTCAGGTGACGGCAAGGCCTACCCTGACTGCCTTATATACAACACACTCGCTTCACTAGTCCAACAAATATTTACTGCGTCCTGTCACATGGGCATATAAAAGCGAACAAAACATAAAAAATATCCTCGCCCTCATACGCTTCCTAGTCCACTGGGGACCTGGGTGGGAGGAGGCAAGATGAGTATGTAAGAAAATGCAGTATGTCAGGGGACAATATATATGTGACAGAAAAAAGATAAAGTTTAGTACAAGAGGGGGTAAAGGCCTCAAGCACTCCCAGTCTTACCTTGCTCGCCTTAGCAAAAGCACTTATCACCTTACATCACAAAAGCAACTCAGGCATACATTATTTACTGTTGTTTCCCCAATATAAAATACCGTAATCTCTACAAAGAGAGGGGTTTTGTTTTCTTTCTTCACTCCCAACTCCCAGAACCTCAAGCAGTGCCCAGCATGCAATAAGTGATCAATACTGACTGAATTCAGTGAAATTTACTAATTTCCCTTCTTTAATAAAAAATGATTTTCAAAGTTAAATCATCGCCTGAGAGGAATCAGGATCCGTCTTCATGGATACAAGCTAGACAGACCCAAGACGCTTCTCAGCATAGAAAACGGGCTTCAGCAGTTTTGTCTCATTAACAAAACAAAACAAAACAAACCCTTCTGTGGTAAACCAAAATTACTGTTCAAAGTAGAAAATGTCTGCTAGTACCTTCTTTTGTGTAAGGGGTTTGTGGCAGAAAAAAGACAGGGCTAAGTATCTATATCATCATTAGCTAAGAAACAGACCAAACCTCAGCTTTTCTTCTTGTAAAAGTACTATAAATGCCAACACTGCTTGCCTCACACAACTGTTACAGTCATCCAAAGCTGTTCTGCAAGTTCTCGTATATACAACCTTACGTGAAACAACGTTTGCCCAAATAAACTGCCCTAGTATCTTTTCTCTTTTAGCAAAATGTTTAATGAGAGCAGCATGGGCAGATGAAGCTGGGAACTGCGGTCTCTGTCACTCTGCTTTCGCCTAGCATTAACACAGTAAAGACAGTAATAAGAAATGAAGTAGCCCAAGGCAATAAAAAAGAAAGAAGAAAAACAAAGAGGCTAGATAAATTATCTTTGCATAATCGGGAGTTAATTACTCAAGCTGATATCCATCCCTTGAGGGGCTACAGCTTTTCACTAATCTAACAAAAAAAAAGTCATTTTGCTTCATCCATCTGTCCCAATGGGGACGGCTTCGAGTTCCCCAGCTTTTCATTTTCTGCTCTCAATCTTCTTCAAAGTAGAGAGAAAAGTATAATTTCCAAAGAACCCTATGGTAAATCACCACTCCCTGAATGCAGACTAGGCTTCTGTAATTTATTCACACCACAAAGATGTGACAGATACGCTACCAGATGGAAACAGGGCTTGGTCCCATCAGATATTCTAGCACTGGAATGACACCAGGAATCAGGGGCCGGCTGAAAGGTTGGCCTCAGAATGGGAAAACTCGTTTCTTTGAACACTTCTACACTCCTAAAGAAAAATAAATGCTAAACTGGTGCCATAGTCCTAGGATATCCTCAACAAATACTCATTGTTGTGGAAAGGAAAACAAACGAGAAGTGAAAAAGTTAAGAGATATGACTACAGAAAGTTACTGTCTTACTCATCTTCTCTACTTTAAATGCCTAAATACACATTGATCTTTATTCCTTTCAAATGAACCCCTGAAAACCTGGCTGACATGTAAAAACGTTTCACTGTTAGCACAGTGGCTGGGTGGACACGGCTGAACTCTAAGCGATGAACGAGAACATGGGTTTGCGTATCATTTTGTGTCCACTGTCTTGCAAGGCCCAATGAATGCCTTACGTGCCTTTCACAGCGCCTGCCACCTGCTGCGCCCTTAATAAATGCTGGCTGTTGTTACTGCTGCTACTACTATCACTTCTACTACTGTCAAGCAACCCATGACGAAACAACCCTTTGCATTCATTTGGAAACAACAAATGGCCTTATATCCTGCGGCTGTTTAACCTCTTGATGTGGCTGCTTTCTGGTGGACTTCAAGTACACACATGAAGAAAGTTAAGGGAAAGATGCATAAGGAAAAGTCTGGAGAGCCCACAAGCACCATCAGTACTTACCAAAGATTAAAGGCCTTTACAACAGGGGAGCAAGTGAAAAGGGTGGAAAACTTAGCAGTCCACATGGGAAAGGGCAGATACTTCCTACTCTCTGCCCTTCCCTCCCGCAGACGGAACAAGGCTGCGGGACAGACTCGGATTAGGAACACAGGAGAGTGACAGAGCTGGGGGTGTCTGGAGGAAACACTTGGATCTGTGAAGTGGCTTCGGGTTCCTTCCTCGGTATCACTGTTAACTTCCATTTCGAGACCAGGGAAGGGAGCACAGAAAGCTGACGCAGGAAGCTGGCGGCTTGGGACTCAGCAGCATGAGGGAGGAGACAGGCAGCGGAGCAGAAAAGCTAGCAGAGGCGAAGGCAGAAGGCCCCGGGGGAGTGAGCGGTGGACGCTGGGCTTGACTACCTTTGGTGCTTTGTGGCACTGAGGAGAATGAACCTCAAGCATATTCTAGGTTTTTCTTCTAACATACTCGATTTTTCTTCAAATCTGTTCCTTCAAACAACATTATTTCTAACAAAATTTAGGATTATAGTTATAATTGTGAAATGTGTTATTAAAAATTTACAAATATTGGCCAGTTTAAAACAAAAAATATAACATGGTAATAAATTGCCTTCCTTAATCCAGTAGCCTATATTACACCCGCTTTCTTTTTCCTGTGCATATATTAAACACAGAAGACAAACTTTACAATTCCTAACTGATTATTCATTTAAAAATTTTTGTGCGTGGGGTATAGTGTACCAACAAAAACATCTTAGAGTTTAAAAACCGGATTATCACTTCATTTATACTCCCCAAGGTCCTAAGCAGTGAGGTGACTTCCAGCAACTCATCTGTATTACTCTACATTCACGCACAGCAAGCAGACCTCTTTAGCAGTTAAAGACTAACTGGTAACTCTGGAAGGTAAGGTTAAAAAGGGTAGCACCTAATGTTCAGTTCTAAAATAGTCACCAAGCTATAGTTTTATAAACAAAGGAGAAAGTTATAATTCTCAAAATATATAATTCTCAAATTCTTAATGGTGGTCTTTTCAGACTTTTTTCAGTTCTAGAGATTAAACCCAGAGAGATGCTTAGTCCCTGCCTCTTAAAAAATAGTATTTTTGAAACAGGGTGTTTCTAAATTGCTCAGACTGGCCTGGAACTTGAAATCCTATTGTCAGTTTCCCAAGTAGCTGGGATTATAGGTATACACCAGCATGCCTAGTTCAGAGATTGTATAATCATCTCTATCTGTATCTCCCGGCCCAAGTACCAGGGATAGAACCTGAGGCCTTGTGCATGCTAGGCAAATGGCTCTACCACTGAGCCACATTCCCAGCCCTCTTTTCACATGTTATTTAACCAAAAGCTATTACTTAAATTATGATTTAAGATCAGCTATAAGAAAGATACCAAGCTAGGTGTGTTGGGGCACTCCTGTAATCCCAGCACTAGGGGGGCTGCAACAGGAGGATTTCGAGTTCGAGGTTAGCATGGGCTACATAGCAATTTCAGGCTGGCCTGAACCATGTAAGACCCTCTCTCAAAAGAAAAGGAAAAAAAGGAAGATTATTAATGTAATAAACAAAATGTATAACATTATTAAAATCAATCCTTGTTTGGATTGTTAGAACCATCAATATTTTTTTTTTTTTTTGGTTTTTCTCCGGTACCGGGAACCAAACTCACGACCTTGCACTTGCCAGGCAGGCGCTTTTTGCCGCTGAGCTAAATCCCCAGCCCCTATATTTTAAATCTTTCTACAATAAATATATCTCAGGCATTGGTGTGATTTTTTTCAACAATACAGCAATTTGCATTTTATTTCTGATTAATGAAATTTATAAGATAGAATTGAAAAATTTATATTTCTGTTTCATGAAATCAAATGAAAATGCTATAAAAGTGCTGACATATATTTATACCATAAGAAAATGTATTACTAGGGTATAAGCAGAAAAGAAAAATAAATTTTAAAAAACTTCAATTTTGAATATGTGGGAGCTAAAAAAAAATCATAAAATAATTATAAAATCATTAAATATAAGCTCAAAGTCATTAGTGGGGTGCTCCCCTTGCCTCCTCCTCTGAGGGAAAATGTGTTGAAATATCCTTTTTGTAAGCCTCAAAGGTAATCTTTGGTTTCTGAAAGGAATGAAATAAACAAAATTGCCATGACTTTGGCTGCTAAAAAGGTTTAAAATATTTTTCAAGGCTTCAGTATTTAAAACCTAAATGCAGTTTCCAAAACCAAAGAAGCAGCTGAATAAACTTGTAACTTCAACCACAGTAAAAGCCAAGATTTCTAAGGTTATAGAAGAACGTTCCTCCACTTCAGCTATAACTGCAGCAGTTCCTCAGCAGAGGCAGCTGCTTGCACATTTCTCAGCCTAGAAACTGCACTGCTCTTCAGGCAGAAAATGGCCACTCTGCCAACGTATCGGGGCAGTGACGACAAACCTCTCAGAGAGGAGCGTCCAAACTGCAGCCCAAAACTCACTAATTTATTGCAAAGTGCTAACACTGCTATTAAACCTCAATCTTGAGGTTTTAGTTTAGAAAAAAACAACCGATACATATAACATCTTTTGTCTTAAATGAAAAACAACAAGTTGCCACCACCGGCTGGAGTATTCCAGAGGTCAACAGAAACTCAAATTACCAGGCTAGAAGGACATACTACAACCAGAGTAAGGAAGAGAAAAACGATCTGGAAATGGTAATAAATAGTTGTTTGTCTGCTTGCCTTCTTACCCCTACAACGTGGAAGAGGTGGAAGAGGTACGAGCAGGATTCGGACATAGGAGGAAGCTCTTGTGTGCTTCATTATGAAAGTCAAGAGTGATACAGAATAGTGTCTGTTAAGAAAGAAACCTAGTTGCCAGAATTCTGGAATACTTACAATACCAGCAAACTGTTGTGTATGCAAGTCATATATGCAAGTCTTGATTGCACAGAAGATTAGGATCAGGATTTGCATAAATCCTAATGACACAGAGGATTATGTCATTAATTTACTCCTCAAGAAACTTCATCATACATGTCCCTTTGTTAGACAAAAGAGATTACTCCATGCTAATATCCTGAGTCTAGCTAGACTGTACTTATGTTCTGTTGTCCATGTCTGAAAACTTGATGCCGAGGAGAGGGGGGCTGGGGGTGGGAACAGGACAGAGAGGAAGTGAGCCAGAGAGCGAGCTTGAGAGACAGCAGCACAACCGAACTGCACACTATGTGAAGCGAGGGTTTGTCCACACAGAAAGCAAACAGTCTGACAAGTCAGAACTATTAGTACATGGCCACAAAAAGCAGCACAAACATATGGGAAGTTAAGGAGACCATGAGAGAAAGTTCGGGCTTTATCCTGGCTGCAACAAGGGGCCACCCTTTTTATTTCTCAACAGTTATTTTGAAAAATTCTCAAGTCAAAAGAATAGGACAAAAATACTCTTCATCTGTATTCACCAACTATTCATATTTTGCCATATTTGTTTGATCTTTCTACATACATATTTATCTATAATCTTTTTATTTTTGCTAAAATATTTGTAAACTGGACATCCTGATACTTTGCCACTGAATCATTAGCATGAATCACCTAACATTCTTCTGTAAACTACAATATCATTATCATACTTGTGGCAATCCTCCTGCTTCAAACTCCCAAGTGCTGGGATTACAGACATGTGCCACCACACAGGGCATAACTATTAAATCACACAGAAGGTAACTATCACAAGAAAACTTAACAGTCAACTTTTAGCTAAACCCAGCAATGAAGTTTTTTCTAATTCCAAATCCTATTTTAGAATTCTTTGCTTCAATCAGTATCTACCATTTTTTTTTTTTTTTTTTTTTTTTTTTTTTGAGATAGGGTCTCGCTATGCAGTTTAAGCTGGCCTTACACTTACTTTGTAGCCCACACTGATTTGGAACTCACAATGATCCTCCTGCCTCAGCCTCCTGAGTGCTGGGATTACAGGTATGTGCCGCTACACCCGGCTGCCATTCTTATACAGTAGGAAGTAAAGGAGAATCTAGTTTTTCTTGAAGAAAATCAAATCAGTATGAGTAAATGGGAATTATGTTCCATAACAGTATTGACTAAAGACCTCTCAAATTTGACAATAATTGAGGAAAAACTAGTGCTGTGCTTTCCCTGCAGTTCAATGATTTATATATTTAGCATAATGAATAATATTTTTAGGAATAGCTGACTCAATAAATTTTAAGACTCATAAAAGAAGCCAGTAACAAAATCATACCTGAGTAAAAATATTGTGCGTTTGGCTTAAAATCCACCTAGCATCAGCATCAGGTGCTACTACTAATTTTATGGTCCCAACGTAAACATCAGAACATAAGGTCCAGAAGTGCTGTTCTTGTAAACTATAAACTCCCTGTAGCTCCTGCACCTGGAAAACAAAGGGAAGACATCATCAGAATCAAGTGAAGTGTTAAGTGCCCACCCCTTCAACTACTTTGCAACGTATCAGTAAACATGCAATCACCCCTCTGGGTGAAAAATGCAGAGGAGAACATATGAATGGACAGATACCTATGGAATACTCTCATGTGGCAGGTGACACCATGACGAGATATAGCAGATTGTTTAAAACTACAAACGGAGGCTGGGGATATAGCTCAGTGGCACAGCACTTGCCTGGCAAGCATGAGGTCATGAGTTTGATTCCCAGTACCAAACAAACAAAAAACAAAAAACAAACAACAAACCCATAAACAGAAATTTTATGAATACTATAGGAATCCTATCAATAACTCTGAATGTATCAGTATATGAATGTACAAACTATTAGAACTAAGTAGAATCAAACAGTCTCACTGAGATCTCCATTGTGATCAGTCTAATCCAGAAGTAGTCTAACATAGCTCTAGTCTGGGTTATTATAGTAAGAACTCTTTTAACTATTCTTTCTAATTCTAGCCTTGCACTTCTTCCATCTGTTCTCAAAACGGCGACCCAGGTGCGATCCCCTTACTGTGAGTCAGATACCACTACTCCTCTCATCAATTCCTCCAATGGCTTCCTGTCTTCCCAAGTTCAAGCAACACTTTCACAGTGATTTACAGGTCAGGGGGTCCCCTTTGTCCTTATTCACCTCACCTCTTCCTCTTCTTCCTTTCTCTCTCATCAGCTATTCCAGCCTCCTCTTCATTCTTTTAGAAGCCAGGCACATTCCTCACTCAGGTTCTCGCTATTCCCTCTGCTGGGGAAGTATCCTCTCCATATTTCTACACAGGCCACCTTGTTCGAGTCTCTACCAAATGTCATCTTCTCAGTAAGCCTTTCTGTATCTGGCACCTAACATTACACAGCATGCATGCATTCATTCATATTGCAGGTTAGGCATCTCTAATCCAGAAAGTGATGGGTCACAGTCAAAACACAGGGGTACCAAAAATACTGCATAAAATTACCTTTAGCCTATGTGTACAAGGTATAATAAACACTAATGAATTTTATGGGTAGACTTTGGTCCCACACTTAAGATCTATTATATAGAGTAAATATTACAAAATCTAAAAAAATCCAATTGAAAACACAACTCCTTCCCAAGTTCTGGATAAGGGGTACTCAACCTGTTCTTAAACTGCTTACTGTTTATGCCAGCAGAATTTAAGCTCAATAAGGTTAAGGATTTACTCTGATCTTCAATTTTCAGTACTGAAAATAATACATGAGCTAAAAGTAAGTACTCAATGAAAGTAATATTTATTAAATTAATAAAACCATAATTTGAAAACCTACACAGAATAGGTACATTTCTGGAAATACAGGAAATGTGCTAAGAAAAAAAGTAAAATGTGAAAGTGGAACAAACATTAAAAGCTGAACTGGTAACTAAGCTCTCTTTCAAAGAAACCCTGAATACAGAGAAAGAGAACTTTTCAAGGAGATATGACTGTCATAATTTTTTCAGAAAACAAAACAGCTGCTACCTTATATTGACCAATTTTGCATGCTTATATCTGGTAATCTGAACAACTGATTTGAAGACAACAGTATTCAATATAACAACCACTGGTGAATTCCTACCATCTTGTCTAGTGAAACTCTGTATTGTTTCTAATGTTTTTTTTTTTTTTTAATTTTTCATTTTCTTTAATGGTTTGATCTATCTTGCATTCTTACATCTGGTAATCTGAACAACTTCACTGCAAAATTGGTCAAAAAGAAAAAAAATTAGGCATTAACTATTCCTTTCAATAAACTATTAGACATCAGCAGTACAGTTATTCCAGCTATCCTTCTCTCCCTCTCCTCCCCTCTTTTTCCCCCTCCCTTCCCCCTCCCTCTTTCACTCTCTATACATATCTATATCTATCTATCTATCTATCTATTCCCTTCCTTTCTTTTTCTTTTCCTCATCCCAATTGTTCCTTTGTGCAATTTCTTTCTCTTTCATATCTACTGTACCTTTTGGGTTTTATTTACTCTTCCAGGTTCTTACACTAGGGAGACAACACTACACTGCATTTTTAAGGCACACAGAAAATAGAAGCAACAGAGAAAATTCCTTATCCTGAACTAACAAATCTACCAGTCCTCCTCATCTACATCAGCACTTTTGCCTTTGCGTCTGTTTACCATTAATGCTTCCACTGTGCTTTGGGCTTTGTCCTCTCACTTTCTCAGGAACTTCATTCCTTCAATAATGCCCCTCAGTACTAAATCATCCATTTCTTCCTCTCACACCATTCCCATTGCTAACAGGTTCTAGAACTGTTCTGTGCAATACAAAATCACCAGACAGTTGCGGCTATTTTAATGAAAGAAAATTAAATCAAATTTTTATAAATCAGTTACACTAGCCAAGACAGCTGTGGTTTCCACACTGGGTACTGCAGGTTATAAAGCAGTTCCATCATATAGGAAAGTTCTGTGAGATCACACTCTTTGAAATATCCTATCTTTTTAAAAAATCAAATGCTCTTTCTCCTGATACTGCATGTACGTGCAGACTATCAACTCATTTCTTTCCTCCCTTTAATGATTCTCCTGTCTCTAATTTCCCAATTGATTTTTCTCTTAACCCATTTAAACCATGTTCTCTCCCCCCCATGCTACTTAAATTCTTCTTATTGAGGTCATCAGTGATGACTTCAACCTAAGCAATGGTCACTTCTTGCTCCTACAATGTGACTTCCACAGAAACATTTGGCAGAGTTAATTGCTTTCTCTTCAACTCTGTGAAACTATACCCTTCCAACTTTCCAACTCCCTTACTAACTAACCACTCTCTGGCTTTTCCATTATACTCTAAATCTGAAGAAGAAAGCTTTCTTTCCCCCAATAAATATATTCTGCTCTTAACCTCCATTGTTCCTAAAATTTATTCTTCGATTTTAGAGAACATGAACTTGTACCAGATATCTAGCAAGCTGGGAATTTATTTCCCCTGTATCATTTGGAGGTCTTCCATTGAGATCATTAAAGGGAAGTAAGTGTTTACTTTTGTTTCACAGACTCTGGACTAGGATTCATTTAGGTAACAAATTTCTATGCTTCAATTTTTGTTATGTCTTTGCCCACTGCTTATAATTACTTATGCTGGTCTCTAATATAGTTTTGTTCAAATGTGATCAATATAAGTTAAAACATGGGAAGGTTTATAAGGTTATAATGCTTCTTTAATGGGACATTTTTATTCCTGTATTGTTCTTATATATGTTGCATTTGAACTAGTTACTAAATTTATTGGTATTCCTTGCTTGACTTTATTTAGACAAAAGCACTAGAGAGAGTAATGTTAAAATGTGTGCTAGTGGACTTTAATATAAACTTTTGTAAAGTGGGTCTTTATAAATAAAATCTAGCTCAAATTTAGAAAATATTCACGCCTATGTAGTATAGCATGAGACTCCTTCCACCAGTTAAAAGATGCTAGGTGGGTGGCTATTTTTAAGAGTTAGAGGATAGGTTTCAGTGGGACAGACTGGCTCTGATCCTCCTCTCACTCTAATGGAAATGTCTAGAGCCTGTTCTGCTGCAGTTTTCTTTCTCTGGCCTTACTCTTAATCTTTTCCTACTACTTTGCACTTTCCTTTTTAGAGGTGTGTAATATTAGAAAAAAAAAAAAGAACTCTAGCCTGTCCCAACTAAGTTAAGCCCATAGAAAATGAGTGTTTGCTAATGCCAAAGACAAGGAAGTCATCTTAGAGGAGGAATACATACCCTGTCTCTGGGTCAGATGAGACTTAGAATTTTGCCTGTCCAGGAGAACACACATAAAAGCCATGTCCCAGGTTAGTGTTCTGGGCAGGTCTCCCTCAGGAGACTGAGCCTGAGACACAGTGGAAAGAAACAACTTCTGGGTGAAACCAGAAGGAGCTATTTCCAAAAGCACCACACTTATGGGACCAAAAAACATTTAGCCGAAGGGAGGATCTCCGACCTTTCCTCTTCTCTTCCCAGGTCTAGTTATCATTCAGGTGCACAGGAAAAATACTTTGATAGTAAGCTGTGGACTTTAAAATCTTCAATGTAAACTTATAAAGTATTAGGTAATCTTGCTCAAGCTTTTAACAATCCCTTGTAGAATTGTGACAAACAGTGGTTACTCTGCCAGCTAGTTAAATGCTCTTAGAGCAGCTACTCTCAAAACAGAGTACAGGTTTCCCCAGCATCTCTTTGGTGAATCCCCATTAAAGCCAATGGCCAATGGAACGTTGACCAGACAAATAGCTGGATTCCTTTCTGGTGATTGATCTCTGGCTGTGTGGACCAACAGAAACTGAGAACAATTGAGGGGTTCTGGCCAGGACTACTCTCTGGTGGATAATCAAAGCCAGTGGAAACTGGTTCCTGATCACAGAAAAATCTCCACTCATCTATTGTAGTTATCTCTCTTTGCTAGTGAACTAGAAATTCTCCCTAAGCTTTTCAGTTAACTTTAGAATCACTCAGACTACCTTTCCCTTCAGAAATTACACTGAAGAAGCCTTCAACAACTGTTTACATTTCATAGCAGCTAACAGGGGAATGATTTACATTTGTGCCTTACCTATGCTAACAGTAAGAAAGAGATTTTAGAGTAAGAAAGAGATTTTCTTCTTTCCAGTACGCGTAGAAGACTAATGTGCCTTTACTAACATGTAAAAAGTGGTTGCTAGATGATAAATCCAAGTTTAACTTGTGAGCATCCAAAAATTTAAATGAAGCATAGCTCTGTCCTGGTGCTAGGAAAGATTGCCTATGTGATTAGACATATAGCACAGGAGTCCTGGAGGTTTCTTTGCCCTAGGGCCCAGGGTGGAATTCCTCAAGTCAGTTGTCCTTTTTATCTATCTCCAGAGGTGATCTCTTTCACAGCACAGCAACTACTTCTAACTCACCTTTTTATATATCTGCCCTCTTCCAAAGAACAAAAAGTATTACAAAATTATGCTTCTTTCTTTAGACATTCCTGTCACAAGACTAACTGTAACTGTAAAAGAGCCGTTTTATATTTTTCTGCACACATAAGTGGCCTGCCTACCCCCTAGAACCAAAATGGGATGCAAAGAGAAGTATTCATTATGATATTCTTTTACAACGAAAAAAATACTGTAAAAAAAAAAAAAAAAGGTCAGAATTGCCTTATGTTCAAAATTTCTTTACATTAAGGAATAATTTGTATTTATGCTCAAAGTAGAATTATGATCCATATGAAACTACCTATGTTCATAGGTCTCTTTCCCTCAATGACTCAAAGCAGATCAAGCTAGAACTAGGAAAACTTTTAGCTGACCCCAATAAGTACACTGATGTCTTTAGAGGATTTACTCAGACCTCTAAGCTAGGCTGGGAAGAGGTAGTGTTATTCTTAAATCAAACACTGACTTCTAATGAGAGACAAGCAGCGTTACAAGCGCTATTACATTTGGGGATGAATATCATATGGTCAGTTTCAAACAACCAGAAGACAGACAGCCAGGGGAACAACCAGTCCCTTCTGGAGTGCAAGCAGTCCCTACCAAAGACCCCTGCTGGCCTAACAGTCAGAAGGAAGATTGGAGCAGGAGACATTTTCAAGTGTGTCTTCTTGAAGGTCTAAGAAGGACAAAAAATAAGCCTTCTAGTTATTTTAAAATTTCAGCTATATATGAGGAGAAAGATGAAAATCCTCTGCTGTATCAGAAGTTTCACTAGAGGCACTGGTAAAACATATATCCATAGCTCCTGGTTCAACAGAAGTACAAAGTTTGCCTAAAGACAGGTTTATTACCCAGCCAACCCTAGATATTAGAAAAGAGCTACGAAAGATACTTTTGCTCCAGATAGCTCACTTGATACTTAAATAAAAACTTCCTCCTTAGAATTCTATAAATGAGACTGGGAGGAAACCAGGGGGAAAAAAACCCCAAAGAGACCAAGAAGTGGTTGCCTTTGTCGTGGCCTTAAAACAAAGAGACCTAAGTCTGATTCTTGGGACTCCAAGAAGAGCTTAATGACTAGGCTCAACTGCTACTGCTGTGGAAAGCCAGGTCACTTTAAGAAGGACCTCCTTAAGAGGCCCTGCCAGCCATGCCCTGACTGCAATGGTGACCACTGGAGTCAGACTGCTCTCCGAGGCAAAGGCCCCAGAGTTCAGACCCACCCTACCAGTTGGTCCAGTAGGACTGGAGGGCCTGGGGCACTCTGCTTCCTCCCTCTGGCTGGACCATCATCGCTACCTATCATCTCCATGGAGGAGCCCTGCGTCATCACAACTATAGAGGAAAAGACGCCAGCCAATTGCTGCACATTGGCACAGGTCTCTTTGTCCTTCACCAACCCTGGCCTTCTTTCCAGTCTTCATATTTCAATAAAAGCACGCAGAAGAAAAAATATCTCACTTAAACTGTAACTAGGATAACTTTTGCTTCACTCGTTCCTTTTAGTTATGCCTAAAAGCCCAGCTCTCATCCTGAAGAGATTTTATCCTGTCTAAATACTGCCATGTATGTACATCTAGGTTGCCAGCTAATCAAAATGATGCCGCGACTAGTTTTTACAAATGTAATACAGATTGTTGTTCATGTACAAAAACTGAAGGACTTTTCATTGGTCAAAATAATGTGCTAATCTGATTTTTATAAGTCATCAAAATTTAGAGATAATAACTAAAGCTAGAGGGATTTACAACAAAATGTCAGACTCCTTCAATAAAGGGGTCAAAGAGTCAGTGGGTTACAACAGCCATCCCTTAAAAATAATTTTTAAACTTACCTGTCAGCTCGTAATGCTCATGCTTTGATAATACATGCTCTAATTTCTTGGAAAATTTGTTCTTGCCTAGAGGATGCCAGACTCCAGGTAATCATACAGATAAAACTTATAATGAATATGCTATCCTATTTTTAGATTCCTTTTACTAGGACCCACCAGATCTTGTCTAGAGCAAGGGTTATATGACATATATCAAGGCCTTAACTAGGGCCTTAAATGACACCACAGCTGGTCTCTCTCTCCTAAATGAAGAAGTACAATTAATAAGACAAAACTGGATGACATCAGACATTCTAACAGCAGCACAGGAGGTACTTGTACAATTGTAAAAACTAAATGCTGTGTGCACATTCCTGATCCTTCTGCTAATATCACAATAGCTGTTCAAAATATTAGATGATAAATCAATGATGTGTCAGACTCTGAAATTCCCTAGAATTTATCCTTACCCTCTTTAAGGGAAGCCATTACTGGCTCCTCTCGGCAGAAATATTTGTTGACTATATTCATAATTATCCTGTTGACCTTATTATTTGACCCATGCACACTTGCTTCTTTGGCTTTGTCTCCTTCAGACTTAAAAGCTACACACCCACCCAACATGAAAATGCCTGGTGTTTATCAAGGGTCTTTAGGTAGTATAAAGAGAGTACCTTTGGAGAGTATCTCTGAGTGTTGATCAACAACTATGACCCCCTTCAGCCTAAAGAAGCCAGAGTGGTCACTGCCTATTACTCCCTCACAGCAGTTTGGGATACTTCTTCAGAGGGGGGAATGCTGTAGGGAGGTTAAGTCAGACAGAAATACTATAGGCAGTCAGGTAGGGCCAGGCCCTGGAAGGAGCCAGTGTGCAGGAGGAGATACCCAGCAACAGTGGGGGAGACAGGCATTGCCTCTGTGGGCCAGACCTCAAGACAAAAGATGGAACAAATGCACCCGCATACTTCCAAGGAAAAACATCAGGGACTGATGCTCTAAACAGGTATCAATCACCTTGAGAAAGCCGGGAGGAGTCACTAACCCAGCCCCATACAGGAAAGGCCCTGTTCCGCATTCACGCCTGCTTGCTACCTAACTTTCTTTCCTATTTGTTCTGATTTAATCAATTTTACCTGAGCAATTATGCTTGCAATCTTATTGGTTGACCACAGTTTTGTCCCACTTCATGCCCACCTTGAGATTTCTCATGTTTCCCACCTTGGGCCTGCCTCGTGCTGTGGATTTCCTCTATAAAAATCCCTAGTAAAGTCAGGGCCCTTGGCAACCCATTCAGGCCCCCCTTCTGTCTCTCCTTCGGACAGAAGCTTTCTTTCCCCCAATAAATATATCTGCTCTTAGCCTCCGTTGTTCCTCAAATTCATTCTTCAACTTTACAGAACACACACTCGTACCGCACATCTAGCAGGTTGGGACTTTCTTTCCCCTGTATCAATAGCACTTGGGAGGCTGAGGCGCGAGGATCAAGGATCGAGTGAGTTCAAGGCATACTGGAACTACACAGTGAGACCCCGGCGCAGAAAGCAGGACCTCTCACCGCCTGAAAGCTTCCCAAAGCTTCTCCCTGAATTTGCTAAACGGCAGCCCCCGATCTGAGCCGGCTCCCGCCTCAGTCCCCGTCACCACGCCTGCTCCTCACTATGCTTCCGCCACAGTGGCCCTTCTTCTGCTCTCCAAATACACCACACTAGTTCCAGAGCGCTTTTGAGTAGGGTTTTCCTTTGCCTGCAACATTCTTCTCCCAGGTTTGTACACGGCTGGCTCCTTTTCCCATCGAAGTTTTCAGTCTCCTTCATTGGGACTTCTGTGAATTAAGGCCAGCCACACACATCTATCAGAAACCACATCTCCGTTCTTTTGTAATAGTTACCGTTGATACTTTCTTACTGAGCAACTTACAGTGTAGTGTCTGTGTTTCTTCACCAGACTGTAAGTTCTGTGACAACAGAGCCATCCCTAAAATATCACAAAAGTTTCTGCAAAACAGTGGGTGCAAAAAAAAATGTTCAATAAAAAATTTCATCTGTTGTTTATATTCTATACTTTAAAAGAGTTGCTCAATCTCTAGATGAGAACAATTTCTGCCACATCTTCTTTAGTAAGTCCAGTATTTTCCAGTGATTTTACTCTGGTTTATATAAATGGCATGCATGGTCAGTATTCAATCCTGGAAGAAATACTAAATTATACACACATGCTGCCCATATTTATGAAAGCTGAAAACCCTAACAGTTTGGAAACAACATAAAGTGCAATGGTTTGGAGGCTCTGAAACTTACCCTCTGATAGCAGTGAGGCAAAGTATTTTCCAACGTGGGAGGAGTTCTCTGCATTAATATTCCAACTGACTCTTTTAAAAGAGGAATAACACTAAAGAAAAGAAAGGCAAATTTATTAAAAGGACGTTCTAATAACCTCAACCTGCAAGATAGTAGTAACGTACTTCTGTATAGTAGAAGAGAGTAAGTTTTATCAGAATAGTATCAGGAAAAGGAATTCACCACCCATTGCTCCAAATATTTCATGTGATCAGTAAGTTATTAATTAAAATAAGAGAGCTACAGAATATGTATCATGCATAAAAGACTAAACATAGAATTCAACATTAACTGATCAGCTAAATATCAAAAGATAGTATGATTTCAACCTTCCAAGGTAGCCATTAAGCTCCCTGGGCCTTTAATATGTGTATCCATTTATCTGAATAACAGTGGTAAAGAAAACACAAAGAGTTAATCTATCAGTCCATTAGTCCAGTATTTCTCAAATCTGGTTATGTGTGAGTCATATTTTGTTATTTGAAAAAATACAGAAACTCAGCTATATCCATAGATGTAGTAAACTCAACATCTCTGCAGATGGGGACCAAAAGTCTGTATGTGTTGATGTGGTTGGTCTTCCGCCAGCACTTGAGACTACTGCTGTAGGCTATTTGGATGGTTAAATGTACACCAAACAACTACAGTGGTAGCATAATGGTGAGAGGGACTCGCATGCAATGCCTTGCTCACCTAGCTGGGTCTGTGTACTTATTTCCCCTTATTTTGTAGCAAAGGTATAATAGAGCTACTTCCCAATGGGTATTAAAAACAAAGCAAAAACTGATGCTCTCGAAAGTTATGTGATTTGCCCAAAACTATTTACTGGTTGAACCAGAACATGTGTCAAAATTTTTACTTGAATATATTTTCTGCTGAGGTGTCTACACACTATTAGCAGTTCTTTAGGATAAGATCAGAGATGTTATCCAAACACCTAAATTTAGGAGGCACATAGTTAGAAAAAAGCCACATTTTTTATTCTTAATAATGCAAGGAAAACAACTACTGTGCCTCCTTTTCAGTAAAGAAAGGAGGAAAATATAAAAATGTTAAATTCAGTATGTAAAAACATTCTGTGACTAATCTTTTCTTTTTCCTGAGAAATAAGGATGAAGAAAGGAAAGAAAAAATATTGTAATGAGCAAATTGTACCTTACTGGCTTGCCAACATGCTTTTCACTGTTTTATTTTTTTTTTAATTCCAGGGAGTCTTTACCTATCTGATAATAACACAGTAGGCAAAAGGAGACGCTATTTTTCACTTCAGATGAATGAATAACCAACATCCTTCCTTTCACAATCCTTCACTCCACCTCCAACTGTCTTCCACCCATTTTTCTTTCTCTAACTTTTTCCAGCTTGGCTTTTACTCCTCCTTTCTCAAACTTTTTCCAGCTTGGCTTTTACGGATGGCTCTTCCGTACAACGGAAGGCTTTAAACATTACTTTCATTGTTTAATCTAGCAGCCTTTTCCCACTTGTACTTTTCTTCACTGTGGTATTTATGCTGTGAGGAATACCCTTCCCTTCCTGGAGATGGTATTTACTTTATTGTGTTTGTTATCTTCACTAATACTTTTTACTAGCTGCCAGGAATCATTCAATATATTCTAAAAGATTTAGTATTTACCCTGACCCTAAGTATACCTTTGAAATTTGTGAACCGGTTATGTCTGATGGAATTAGCTATAAAGTCTCGTCCACACACATTTACATACCCGACACTGAGGTGTCAGGGACAGACACAAACAAGGCGCAACGCAGTCCATCCTTTAAAGCAGCTTTGAGTGTAGGCAGAGCTTTCAGTGTAACCACTCGATCGTTCTCATGCAATGCAGGAACTTCTTAAGCACACATTTTTTATAGGCGCACACAGAGGACATTCTGTACCGTCTGGAGGATAGTCTGGGACTAGGAACTATACCCTAAGAGGGAAGATACTTGAGATTTTGAAGCACAAGAGTAAGAAACAGCATGAGGTAAAGTGTAAGTATTCATACTCCGAGGGCTGAAAACGTCAGGTAAGGACTGACAGGAGGTAAGACGGAGGGGCCAGGTTGAGAGACACATCACGTTAAAGGGTTTATGCTTATTCTCTCAGGCAGCGGGGAGCTCTGACACTTTTCTTAGGTGGGAAAGAAACTTATTTTATAGATTAGGTTTATAGCTCTATGAATATGGCTGTTAGCCAGGCAAGTTGCTGCAAACCTGTAATCCCAGCTACCTGGGAGGCCGAGGAAGCAAAATCAAAGTTCTAGGCCAGCTTGTGCAACTTAGCAAGACTCTCTCAAAATAAAAAATAAAAACGGCTGGGGATATAGCTCAATGCAAAGGCCCTGAATTCAATTCTTGGTACTGTAAAACCAATCAAACAAAAAGTACACTGTTTCAGTTATCTGTGGATACATAACACCAGAGCGTAGCAGTTAAAACAAAAGCATTGTATCATGGAGTTTATGCGGTTCGGGAACCTCTGGGTGTGGCTAAGCCGGCACTGCGGCTCAGGGTCTCTCGTAAGGCGGCAGTCAAGTTGTCAGCATGGGCTACAAGCAAGGCTCACCTGAGGGAGAATGCACTTCCAACCCCAGTGGTTGCCGTCAGTACCCTGTTCTTTCTGGACTGTTGGACTGAGGGTCTACCTCCGTTCTAGAAGCGTCCCTCGGGGTCCTGCCCCGTGGGCCTCTCTGTGGCACAGCTCACAACATGGCAGCCATGAGGGGGCGAGTGAGAACTAAAGAGGCTAAGTCACAGCCAGAGTCTTTAACCTAATCTCAAGTGACATCTCATCACTTCTGCCATGGTTTCCTCATTCGCTTCAAATTCCTAGGACCTACTTCCCCTACACACAGCCAAGGGGTGGGGACCCAACGAGGACGGGAGCACCAGACAGGCAGGGGTCACTGGGAGCCACCTTTGAAACTGCCGTCGATGGACTGGAGGGGATAAGCTAAGACACGAGTACTCAGAGGCTACTGTAATATTCCAAGTGGAAGACATGCAGATTACTGTGGACAGACAGTGGAAGGAAGGAGTAAAGAAGGATTTAGGATATAAAGTCGTGAGCTGTCCGCGATTTAGAACTTGGGGTCATAAAAGACAAGAAATTACGGGTGACATCTAGTTATTCTGGACCCTACATCACTATTTACATCCTCATTTAAATATCACTGAAACTGCAGGCCACACTGAGCTGTTTTCATCTTCATAATGCCATCGCACCCTACGGTCAGTCACCTAGGTTTGTCCTGCACACAGCTCTGTGTCTTACTTCATCCAGCTAGATACCAGCTCTTTCTCTATTTAATTCTCCTTTTCTTGTTTTTTATTTCTTACCCATATGTTTACCACTGTACCTACCTAAAGAATATAGGAATGTACCTCAGACCCTTTTCCTGTGCCCTCTTCTTTAACCCACTCTAAAATACCTGGCATCGCTTGATCTCTCATTCGGTCAGTCGACAGTCACCACGCAACTTCTTTGTGACCAGCACTTTCAGGCCTCCCTGGGAATACGAAGGTAAGACAAGCATTGTCTCTGTTCCTTCCGGTCTTCATTACTACACTCTCCTTCCCTCCTGTCAGAAGTGACACTCATCCTTACGCCACACTTCGCCTTCTACACTTCTTTGAGATGTTCCTTGAAATACATATGTCACTTCCCACAGCAGTTACCAAGAGAATTTTACTTCGGACATGCTGAGATTCTTTAAGTTTAAAAGTGAGCACTGGCTTAAGTTATTAAACATAACGAAGGTATTTCTCACCTTCTTCTCTGTGTGCTCTGACCCTGCCTCACTGGAATCATGTGGAGAGTGTATCAGCAGATGCCTGGACCTTCCTTCAAAGATTCTGACTGAATATATCAAGTGCAAACAAAGCAAGTCTATGGTGAATTTATGGAGGAAATTCATGCAAAGCTATGGAGAAAACTCCTTTATCAAGGAAATGGGTTAAATACCCAGGCAATTTTTTCTATTTTAATATATGTCTTATTCAATTATGAAAAAGTGCCCCTGCTGCCACCTAAGACCATGCTTACGTCAGGGCCCCCTCCCCAATTACACTCTGCTACTCCGGCTACTCCCCCGTAACACCGGAGGGCTGGTCCTCACACACGAGGTCAGTGTTGTTCCAGAGTAAGAGTCGTGAACGTGAGACCTACAGCCCCAAAGTGAGCTGCTGGCAGACACAGCTAGAAAGCAGGAGGGCTAGAATAACAGATCAGTTTTGAAAAGTTCCAGTCAACAAACATTTATTACATGCCTATCATGTGCTGAGCACACCTAGTCACAGGAAATTTAAAAAATACTACACAGTACTGTAAGAGAACTAAATACTTAAAAAAAAAGATGTCAATGAAAATGAGGCAAGAAACACGGATCTAAAGCCCACCTTTTAAAAGAAGGCACACGTAAATTCAAATCAACTATACATTATGCCTGCATCCATTTTCACTTTCTGTGAGTTTCTGGTAAAATATACATTTTACATAACAGTATGTTGGTAGCTTACTTTTAAAGGTCCCTTCAAAAATAAAAAGAGGCAGGAAATAAAGGAGCACACAGACTCAAGTGCAACATAAGGCACTTAGAATGATCAGAAATTAAGCAAAAAGCGTGAAAGTAGCTTTTTCAAACAATTTAAAAATAGTTACTGTTTAGGAATACTTAACTGTAGTTTCTTCTTTTCCCTGAAGAAGCTAAAATATAGTAAGAGATAGTGAGTCCACGATATAATACTCTTTGAGGAAATTAATCTTAAAATATTAAGGATATTCCATTCCATGAGTGTCTTAACTTTTTGGCTTGCCTGAGTGAAGAAATGTCTTAAGCTGCATATAAAATATGTAATATAAAGAAAGCTGGCCATGGAGGTGCACTTCTATAATCCCAGCACTCAGGAAGCCGAGGCAGAAGGATCAGTGTGGGTATGAGGCCAGCCTGGGCTACATAGTGAGTTTAAAGTCATCTTGAACTGCAGGGCAAGGTCCTATCCCCAAAAAGCCCAAATAAATAAAATATACAATATAGGTAATGCATATAAGTAATA